TCAGATTTTAAGTTTTTATTGTAAGATACAATCTTTATTGAAATTTAGACATTTACTTTTCAAGATCCTTTCTTTTAACATATTCAGGTGTCAATGTGGTAACTGCCAAATAATGGACAATAACGAGAAATGTTTATGCTGCAAAGAGATTTCCAATATTTGTGACAAAAATGTAGAGGCAGTAGAAATGAATGAGACAACCGAAGTCCCTTTGTGCATTACACAACATCCTGGTTTTGAGCCTGTTTGTCTTAACAGGTGGGTTTTACAAACAGCTTGGTACCTGTACAAGCAGAAATATGAGGTAGCATATGATGGGCCCAAAGACAAACTGTACTGCCATATTGCATATAGACAGTTGACAAGATGGTGCTGGGATTATCTTAGGTAGAGAAGTAAGAGTCGCCTTGCCATCATGTGCAGTTACTTGCATTAGAGAAACATTTCCACCACCTGGCCCTGCAGAGGAATTTCAATTTGAAGGCTTCCACTATGTTGGTTTTGCTATGTTAATATTTAAGATTGAATGTACAAAAGTTGTCTTCACTGATTCAACATCATATTATAAGGGCATGGCAAAACCTATTGCCATAGCTAACTTCACCACTGGCATTTTATGCAAATCTAGACTGATGTTCCTTTACAAGTACTTCTTTCCTGGGTGGACATGATTTAGAAATGTTCTTTGGAAGATTGTCGCCATGATGTACAAGTTCAATCTCCTCAGTTTTGCATGCATTCACAACCTCGGCAAGTAGTTTATCAATATACCGGTATTCTTTCTTTTCTTTCATTGCTTTTGCAACCCATTGCTTCTTTGTTTTAGCAAAAATCATTTTGTAACGGTCTTGCCCTTTGCTTGTCCCTGACTTAATGACTGCTTTATCACGGTTAATATTGTTGTTGTGATCTAATGCTGCTAACTGAGTGCGGGGTACCATTCCAGGAAATGAAAAATGCTCTCGCTTTGGGCAGTATTTCAGTAAAAGGGAATGGTAAACCTTCAACTCTCCTGTGTGATAAAACTCAGATAGCTTCCACAGGTCTTTTAGAAGCCTCTTGTCACAAATCCCCTTCTCTGCAGCAATATATGCTTGTGAAGTAGGAGATAACCACATCTTCTGCTTGTTTCTCTTTTTGTTAATTGTTGGTGGCAACATTGATGAAAATATGTGTTCCCTCTCCAGTAATGCTTGTTATTGGTTAAGGATAGACTTCTAATTTTCCACCAATTCTTCTGCATTCTTGTTACAACTTGCAGAGCACCACCAAAGATGATTAGAAGTGGACTTAATCCAATGAGTCAGGTCATCGTTTCCCTTAATGTTAGACTTTGTTAGTTTTTTTATGACAGATTTAGACAAATGCCACACATCATATTAGTGATCAATATGAGGGTGTTTGTTTTTCATAGCACTGGCAATTTTTGTCCCAAATGTGACTTAAAAAAGGGAAATTATGTACAAATAATTAGTAAACTATAAGTTCATACTTTACGTCAAGGAAACTACACCTAAATTCTATGCACGAAAGCCTAATTTTACAATGGTTTTATGTAGGATTATTTTCTAACCATAACGAATCTAAATTACGCAAACATGTTTTATTATTATTCAATGTTATTCATGGCAATAGACTGGTTTCACATCAGTAGAAACTGTTGTTAAGGTGGAATTCGGAGGACAAGCAAACGAAGCAAACGGCATTACAGCACAGTTTCCACACAAATAAACCTTCGTATTTTTTAAAAAATTATATTAATCGACATTCAAATTCTATATGTAGCGGAAACTGTGCGATAATGGCCTTTATGGATGTGAAATCGTTCTATTAAAACAGAATACAAATAACCAGCTCAATACTTGCATGTAAGCTATAAAAGTTGCTTGTGTATATACCTATGAATAAAAAATTCTGACGAAACATTTTGTGATTAGGAGAAGCATTTTGACGCAAGTTTGTTATGACTGTGCAATGACTTTACATAGAGCTTTGAGCAGCAATTGACGATATGACGTCGAATACAAGCCGCTGACATAATCCGCTCCCACGCACCGGATGCCCTAGCTGCAGCATTTCAACTCATTTTTTGTGAAAATATTGAATCAAACAATTAAAAAAACTGCCGCATATTTATTTTCACGGGACAGACAAAGTTTTAAGACCAACATTGTGTGAGGGTGGAGTTCCCCTTTAAGTACTATTGCACAGTGGTAATGACACTTGCAAGTGTCTCGCACATATTAAGATTAACTACAGTACAATACCTAGGAGGCAAGTTTTGAGTATAATTCCCTAAAACAACGAGTTCGCCCCTTAAAATACGTTAATATTTCCGTGTATTTTGTGATTGCGTCTACTTTCTTTAATAACGAAGCACATATTCACATGCCACTATGACTAAACAAAATGATGTTCTTAAAATTGCTCTTAAGTCTGTAAAAATCTTTTCCATTGATGAAAATGTCGCAGATCCTTTTCTAGAAATCAATGGAACTACATGTATGTGATTTAAAAAGAGCCATTTTGCATCCCCGATTTTCCGTAAGGGCCGGATGGTCCTCCGAATCCGTAGAAAATGAAATAGAAAAATAAAAGCAAGAAGTATCATTGGCATGCCAAAGAATTCTCTCCTCTATAGACTAAAGAGGATACCAGTTGATAAGACTATGAGAGAACTTGAAAAACGTATTATCAATCATAGCTGTAAAAATTCAACTGAAATTTTCATTGTAGTTTATAAGTTATAATATAAATTTCCTGGATATAAAAGTTCATTTATGTTCGTGCAATCGATGCAATACATAGGAACAATTTGTGAATTTCAACAGTACTTAAGTCAATCTTAAAATGAATGAATAAGCTGTTGTTTATTAAACTCTCTGTGTTAATCTGTGACACTGTGCCTTCTCACGCAACGCTTGTGACGTTAATTGATAGGATCATAAATGATTTTATTGATTTAAATTGATATTTTTTTAGATTGGAAAAACCATGTTCAAGTCTAATTATGTACTAGTACACTAACCCACCTGCCATTTTACCCAACAATGTTCATGAATATATATTTTAACAAAAGATAATCGACTAATTCCGATTCAAAATTTATATTATTCAAAGATTAAATCAATCATGATGATTAACATATAAAATTTCCATTTTAAAACAACATGATGTAGATATCTTTCAGAAAGATTAGAAGAAATATCTTTCAAAAACCACATGTTCTAATACGTAAGGCCCTTTTTAAGTTTACATAATCTTTAGCTGCTACATAACTAAATTTCATGTGTTATCCTTACATCAATCATTGGTGAGCTTTCAATGCTATATGCTTCTATTGAAATGAATCATATTTCATTGTCATTAATGCAGCATACTTACTACTTACATTAATCAGCGATGAACATATATATCCAATGGTTTCCATGTGTCATACTTACAGTGATCATTAATGAGCATGAATGAGCTACTGGAGCTCTGCCTCACCTCGACTTACTTCCAGTACAAAGGTTCACACTACAAACAATTACATGGGACAGCAATGGGCTCACCGTTTCTGTTGTAGTTGCTGAAATTGTAATGCAATCTATAGAGGTGCGAGCGCTAACGACTTACAAACATGCACTACCTTTTTGGTTTCGCTACGTAGATGACACAATCACAGCACTACATGCAGACGAGATTGATGACTTTCACACTCACATCAAAAAACAGACCAGCCACATACAATTTACCAAATATGTCGAAGAAAACGAAATTCTTCCTTTTCTCGACTTCTTGGTAAAACATGACAATCAAAAACTACGAACAACAGTTTATCACAAATCAACACGCTACAAGACCAATCATCTTACAACTCTACATCACGCAAAGCCACCACAATAAGAACAATAAGTAGACGTGTACAAATCATATGTGATTCACCGGACGCTCTACATAACGAAAACAACTATCTCAAACGTGTTTTTGACAAAAACAATTATAACTCTGACTTTATCAAACACAACACTTACAAACCCAACGAACCCAACGAAACGAACAACTCAGTGACAACAGCAACGATACCTTACATCAAAGGTACGTCTGAGACTATTTCGCGTATCTTACGACAATACAACATACGTATCGCACATAAACCAATCACAACGTTACGACAAGTACTAACGAACATATAGGACAAAGAACAACCCAACGAACGACAAGGTGCAGTTTACAAAATAAACTGCTCCGACTGCCACGCCTCCTATATCGGGGAAACTGGCAGGAACTTAAACATCAGACTTATTGAACACAAACGAGCTACTAAGAAACAAGACAAAACTAATCACATTACCGAACATCACCGAATCACAAAGCACAACATTGAATGGGACTCGGCAAAATGCATTACTTACAGTACTGACTATAGACAACGGCTTACATTAGAAGTTGGTATACAAACTTGGAGCAACCCCCTGAATAGATTACAGCAATTACCGGCACCTTAAAAACGACTTATTCACAATACAAACAAACGATCAACTTACAACATTACACTTCACACAAATTCACAATGACAATACGCAATTGACACCCACAAATTACAACTAAAAACATCACACCTAAATCACACATCACAACTAAAAATAAAAATATTTCACTTTACACTAATTCACATTGACAATACACATTTCCTGTACACACAATACAATTACGTAAGAACCAGATAACAAATACGGCTAGCCTGACGTTTACTCCTCATTTGACTCTGAAGATGACTACCGCTAAGGTTGTCAAAACGTCAGTCAACAACAACAAAAACTGTCTTTCTCAGGACTATACCAACCTGGGCGATCTACATTTACAAACATGTAAGTGAGAGGAGTCAAACGTATGAAAAAACGAGGTACGTTTAGGTTAGATAATCGCAGTTAACAAAACTACCCTTTACATTTTTTCGCCAGTCACGATTCTTTCTTATTTTGTTCTTGAATTTTTGGGAAAATTCAGCCTCAATGTTCTTATAAATTTGGTTTTTATATAAAAAGAGTGTGTTAAATAATGATTGTCATAACATACATATTTACCATTAAATTGAATAAATCGGCGAAAACCTTGTGAAATATTAAAAAATGTTCTTCTCTTTTACCCCGAAGTAGGAGATTGGATTTAAAATCGAAGTGGTAAAAATAGATTACACGATAAAATCTACTGACAGAAAACTAATCAGCGCAATCAATATAAACTCCTGATTGAACATTTTCGGCTATATCTATAAAACCAGCCCCTTTTATAGCCTTAGCGAGTTTTAATCGAGTTCCTTTCCGTGACTTGTACTTTGACAACATTTCATTGGATTTCGTTGAAGGTGATTGCAGTGTAGTGTTTTGGGCAATGTTGTCGATCTCCCACTGTTCGAATAAATTAGTGCGTAAGGCAACTTGTCTCCATTCACCACATATTCTTTGAGCGATGACAAACAATTCCTTTGGTTTAAATGGACGATCACACACATCAACAGCTGAGTCACAAGTGGGCTGATCTAAATATATTATTCAGAAAGATATTTTATTTAAAAAGCGTTTTTACTTATATAAAAGCTAATATTCTATGAGAAAAATATGAACTAAATTTTGTGTTTTATTGTTTCTTGTACATCTCGAAAAACTTTTACATAAGTTTTGAAGTAAAAACTTATTTGAAAGTAAAACGACTTAAACACAGATGTCGAGGAAAAGAACAGCGAACACCGAGAGACTGAATCCTAAGAACACATCTAGTTGAATTTATATCGGATTATATAACAACATACACACCGGGAGCCCAGAACTGAGGCTAGCTGAAAAGGGTTTTTATGCATGTAGCAATGACTTTCATACTCCAAGGTAGACGAGACTTATACATTTGATTTAGACACTAGCCAAAATTCTTGTATACCTCAGTGTGTAAAAGTCATGGCTACATCCACAAAAATTGGTTAACATTTCAGCTAGGCTCAAATTTCTGGACTATCGATCCAATGCCTTTTCTTGCATGTGAAGTGTTCAAAACAATTTTAAAAAATAGCACAATGTTCTAGCAGAAGACACTAAATGACACTTCCAGTCATTTAAAATACAATATCTAGAGTGTTGTTGAAAGTGTATTTCTAAAGTGTCTTTCTATAATCTATGACTTTGGCTACCCTGCATTTTTTTAATTTCATGCTGGAGTTGTTGTATTTCTCGAAATAACCTTTTCACACAAGTAAGTGAGAATTTTTGTTTTTGTTCGCTGGACTGAAATATAAGATGTTTTTCGCGTTTGTAGAGGCATATGCAAAACTCAAAGACGTTTGTGAGAACTCTCTATCAGGTGTATTCCTCGAACTTCGTTCTCGGGCTTGCGCTGATCAGCTCTCAAGTTCTCCAAAAGGACTGCTCGGTTTGCATAGGCCTGGGCAATAAAAGTAGACATCTCATAATTTCTTAAATATTATTTAAAATTTTGTTTTAATTCCCTTAATTTTTAACCTCACATTCCACACAATTAGGCAGGTGGGTTATTAAAATAAACGGGCTTATATTTTTTAATTCCGTCAGATATCTCTTTCTGAAAACCATTGCTTCAAAACAGTCAGATAAAGCAAGGTATCAGCATTTAGCAGTGTTTCTATTTTGCGATGTGAATGTTTTGCACATGCTGTAGATGTGGTAGCCAAAGAAAATCTACTTGAAACTTATGCAAGCCATTTTCGTTTCTTTTGTTTATTACATTTAACTTTGCATGTTTGTAATTGTAGATCGTCCAGGTTGGTATAGTCCTGAGAAGGACTATTTTTGTTATTGTCGACTGACGTTTCTACAACCTTAGCAGTAGTAATCTTCAAAGATTTTGGTCTCGTTCCGGCAGAACTTAGAATAAAATCCCCGTTGAACACAAAAGAGGCTATTCAGATTTTCACCTGTACACACAATACAATGACGTAAGAACAAGATAAGAATTACGGCTAGCCTGACGTTTACTCTTCATTTAACTTTAAAGATAACTAACGCTAAGGTTGTCGAAACGTCAGTCCACAACAACAAAAACAGTCCTTCTCAGGACTATACCAACCTAGACGACCCACAATTACAAACAAGTAACGATACTCCCGGGTTCAAACCATTTATTTTATACTTAACTTTCTTGCTTTAAAAATATTTCGTTTTTAATGGGTCTTCTATAAGTTCTTTGCTTGACTGACCAATTATGAGTATTTTCAAAAAGAAAATTTTCATTGGTATTTCGTGTTTTTTTTTACTGGTGTTTTGCCGTTTTGCACTAGTGCTTAGTATTTTTTCACTGGTATTTACATCGGTCTTAACCTATTAGAATTTAGATTTTTTCATCTACATTATTAATCCCAAAATAACGCGATAATAAAAATGTCATGTGACAATTTTACCATGCATAACTCACCCTTCAGCCCTCAACGTCGGTTACTAAAGGCTATTTTTGCAGGATTGAAAAATGCTGATTAGCGAGTTTTTTATAGTAATAATGCAGTTATTACCAAAAGTCTATATCTTAAAATTAAGCACTACATCGTATCAAAAGTCCTAGAGAACATAAAATATTAATTATAAAGTTCTCCAAGACTTTATTGTTTGCGCTTATTTGTGATGACTTACCAGATGGCTCTGAATTGATAGGATTAGTGGTCGGTGCGTTAGTATTCGAAGACGAGGTTTCTAAATTCAAGAAAACAATAAGAAATTTTACCAATTGAACCCAAAAAATAGAATAGAGACATAATCAGTTTGGAAACTGACTTAGTGTGGGGTAGAGCATCAATAATGTTCTTCAATTTTGTAGCAATCATATACATGATAAATTAAATATTTTATCAGCACGAAGTTAAATTAAGTTGGACGCAATTAAACCAATCTGTGTTATTCTTACAAAGTTTGTTTTGTATGGATTTGTAAGTCAACGAGAACATTTGAACTTAAAAAACTCTATTAGCCAATTTTCTTTTTTATACATCAGAAACAAGTTTTTTTTGCTTTTTAAACTTTTATCTTTAGAAGTGTCCGATTCGAATATTTTTATTTGACTTTGGAAACAATTATACAAGACAGTGCGTTTCCATTGAATGTTTGCAGTTAATATATTTACATTTTTTTAAAGTTGAAACAGCAGCGAATCCAATTTGATAAGTTAAAGCTTAAAAACACAAGTAGGAAAGAAATTTTAGATTTTGGTCGCTGGACTAAATTATAAGATGTTTTTTGTGTTTATACAGGCTTACACAAAACTCGAACACGTATGTGAGAGCTCTAGAGCTGGTGCATTCCTTGAACTTCGGTCTCTGTCTTGCATTGATCAGCTCTCGAGTTCTCCCAAAGGCCTGCTCAGTTTGCATAAGCCTGTACCAACAAAGTGGACATCTTATAAATTCTTAAATAATATACTTAAATTTTTTTTTAATTGCGTTAATATTTAACATCAACGTACACACAATGAAGCCGGTGAGTTAATAATATCAACAGGTTTATATTTTTTAATTCCATTAGATATCTTTTTCTAAAAAACATTGCTTTAAAATAGTCAGATAAAGCAAGGTATCTGCACTTAGCAGTGTTTCAATTTTGCGCTGTAAACGTCTTGCACATGCTGCAGATTTGGTTGCCAACGAAAATCTACTTAAAACTGAAACCAGGCATTTTCGTTTCTTTTTTTTTATTTAATTAACTTTCTCGCTTCAGAGATATTTCGTCGGATTGGCTCTTATACGAGTTTTTGATATATATTACCAGTTATGAATCATTTCAAAAATAAAATAATTCAGTGGTTTTAGTGTTTTGGCACCGGTGTTTTTCTGTTTTGCACTGGTGCTTCGTTTTTTTTGCATTGATAATTAAATCGGTCTTAACCTAGTAGAATTTAGAATCTTTTTATAGATAATATTAGCCCCAAAATAACGCGATAAAAAATATCATGTGACAATTTTACCATAACTCAACCTTCAGTCCTCAACGTCGGTTCCTAAAGGCTATATTCGCGGGATTGAAGAGTGTTGACTATCGATTTATCTATCGCAATAACACAATTATAACCAAAAATCTATGTTTGAAAATTAGGCACTATATCATATGAAATGTCTCAGAGAACATAAAATGTTAATTAGCAAGTTCTTCAAGACCTAATTGTTTGCGCTGTTTTGTGATGACTTACCGGATGGATCTGAATTGATAGGAGTAGTGGCCGATGTGCTAGTATTCGAAGATGAGGTTTCTAAATTCAAGAAAACAATGTGAAGTTTTACCAATTGAACACAAAGAAATATAATAGAGACATAATCAGTTTGGAATATGAATTAGTGTAGGGTAGAGCATGAATTTTACTTCGTGTTTAAAAAATTTAACACTTTATGCAGTTGATTGTTGCAAAATTGAAGAATATTATCGAGTTGGACGCAACTAAATAAATCTGTGGTAAACTCACAAGGTTTGATTTATATGGACTTGTAAGTCAATGAGAACATTTGAACTAAAAAAATTCTATTAGCCAATTTTCTTTTTTATGCATCAGAAACAAGTTTTTTTGGCTTTTTAAACTTTTATCTAAAGAAGTGTATGATTCGAATGTTAATTTGACGATGGAATCAATTGTACAAGACAGTGCGTTTTAGTGAATCTTTGCAGTTAATATATTTACATTTTTTTAAATTTGAAACAGCAGCGAATCCAATTTATTAATAAAGGTAAAGCTTAAAAACACAAGTAAGTGAGAAATTCTAGATTTTGGTCGCTGGACTAAAATATAAGATGTTTTTGTGTTTATACAGGCTTATGAAACACTCGAACACGTTTGTGAGAACTCTCGAGCAGGTGCACTCCACATTCCTTGACCTTCGGTTTCTGTCTTGAACTGATCAGTTCTTGAGTTCTCCCAAAGGCCTGCTCGGTTTGCATAGGCCTGTACAAACAAAATGGACATGTCATAATGTTTTAAATAATATACATAACATTTTTTTTTAATTCCGTTGATTTTTAACCTCAACGTATACACAATGAAGCCGGTGAGTTAATAATATCAACAGGTTCATATTTTTTAATTCCACAGATATCTTTTTCTGAACGCCATTGCTATAAAACAGTCAGATAAAGCAAGGTATCTGCACTTAGCAGTTTTTCAATATTGCTCTGTAAACGTCTTGCAGATGTTACAGATTTGGCTACCAACGAAATTATACTTAAAACTTAAACCAGGCATTTTCGTTTCTTTTGTTTATTATATTTAACTTTTTCGTTTCACAGATATTTCGATGGATTGGATCTTATACGAGTTTTTGGTATATATGACCAATTATGAGTAATTTCAAAAATAAAATAATTCAGTGGTATTTTGTATTTTCGCACCGGTGTTTTTCTGTTTTGCACTGGTTCTTCATATTTTTGCAGTGCTATTCAAATTGGTCTTACCCTATTAGAATTTAGAATCTTTTTATGTATAATATTAGTTTAAAAATAACGACATGATAAAAATGGCATGTGACTTTTTTACCATAACTCAACCTTCAGTCCTCATCGTCGGGTCCTAAAGGCTATATTCGCGGGATTAAAGAATGTTCATAATCGATTTATTTAAAGTAATACCACAGTTATTACCAAAAGTCTATACCTTAAAATTATGCACTACATCGTATCAAATGTCCTACAGAACATAAAATATTAATTATAAAGTTCTCCAAGACCTTATTGTTTGCGCTTATTTGTGATGACTTACCAAATGGCTCTGAATTGATAGGAGTAGTGGCCGGTGCGTTAGTATTCGAAGACAAGGTTTCTAAATTCAAGAAAACAATAAGAAATTTTGCCAATTGAACACAAAGAAATAGAATAAAGACATAATCAGTTTAGAAACTGACTTAGTGTAGGGTAGAGCATGAATTTTACTTCGTGCTTATAAAATTTAATACTTCATGCAGTTGATTGTTGCAAAATGAAAGAATATTATTGAGTCGGACGCAACTAAATAAATCTGTGGTAAATTCACAACGTTTGATTTATATGGACTTGTATGTCAATGAGATCATTTAAACTTAAAAATTTCTTAGCCACTTTTCTTTTTTATACAACAGAAACAAGTTTTTTTCGCTTTTTAAACTTTTATCTTAAGAAGTATCTGATTCGAATATTTTTATTTGACGTTGGATACAATTATACAAGACAGTGCGTTTTCATTGAATGTTTGCAGTTAAAATATTTACATTTTTTCAAATTTGAAACAGCAGCCAATCCAATTTGATAAGCTAAAGCTTAAAAACACAAGTAGAAAAGAAATTTTAGATTTTGGTCGCTGGACTAAATTATAAGATTTTTTTTTGTTTATACAGACTTACACAAAACTCGAACACGTATGTGAGAGCTCTAGAGCAGGTGTATTCCTTGAACTTCGGTCTCTGTCTTGCATTGATCAGCTCTCGAGTTCTCCCAAAGGCCTGCTCAGTTTGCATAAGCCTGTACCAACAAAGTGGACATCTTATAAATTCTTAAATAATATTCTTAAATTTTTTCAATTGCCTTAATATTTAACATCAACGTACACACAATGAAGCCGGTGAGTTAATAATATCAACAGGTTTATATTTTTTAATTCCATTAGATATCTTTTTCTAAAAAACATTGCTTTAAAATAGTCAGATAAAGCAAGGTATCTGCACTTAGCAGTGTTTCAATTTTGCGCTGTAAACGTCTTGCACATGCTGCAGATTTGGTTGCCAACGAAAATCTACTTAAAACTGAAACCAGGCATTTTCGTTTCTTTTTTTTTATTTAATTAACTTTCTCGCTTCAGAGATATTTCGTCGGATTGGCTCTTATACGAGTTTTTGGTATATATTACCAGTTATGAGTAATTTCAAAAATAAAATAATTCAGTGGTTTCAGTGTTTTCGCACCGGTGTTTTTCTGTTTTGCACTGGTGCTTCGTATTTTTGCATTGATATTTAAATCGGTCTTAACCTATTAGAAATTAGAATCTTTTTATAGATAATATTAGTCCCAAAATAACGCGATAAAAATATATCATGTGACAATTTTACCATAACTCAACCTTCAGTCCTCAACGTCGGTTCCTAAAGGCTATATTCGCGGGATTGAAGAGTGTTGACTATTGATTTATCTATCGTAATAACACAGTTATAACCAAAAATCTATGTTTGAAAATTAGGCACTATATCATATGAAATGTCTCAGAGAACATAAAATGTTAATTAGCAAGTTCTTCAAGACCTAATTGTTTGCGCTGTTTTGTGATGACTTATCGGATGGCTCTGAATTGATAGGAGTAATAGCCGATGTGCTAGTATTCGAAGATGAGGTTTCTAAATTCAAGAAAACCATGTGAAGTTTTACCAATTGAACACAAAGAAATATAATAGAGACATAATCAGTTTGGAATATGAATTAGTGTAGGGTAGAGCATGAATTTTACTTCGTGTTTAAAAAATTTAACACTTTATGCAGTTGATTGTTGCAAAATTGAAGAATATTATCGAGTTGGACGCAACTAAATCAATCTGTGGTAAACTCACAAGGTTTGATTTATATGGACTTGTAAGTCAATGAGAACATTTGAACTAAAAAAATTCTATTAGCCAATTTTCTTTTTTATGCATCAGAAACAAGTTTTTTTGGCTTTTAAAACTTTTAACTTAAGAAGTGTATGATTCGAATGTTAATTTGACGATGGAAACAAATGTACAAGACAGTGCGTTTTTAGTGAATCTTTGCAGTTAATATATTTACATTTTTTTAAATTTGAAACAGCAGCGAAACCAATTTATTAATAACGGTAAAGCTTCAAAACACAAGTAAGTGAGAAATTCTAGATTTTGGTCGCTGGACTAAAATATAAGATGTTTTTCGTGTTTATGCAGGGTTACGCAAAACTCGAACACGTTTGTGAGAACTCTAGAGCAGGTGCATTCCATGAACTTCGTTCTCTGTCTTCCACTGATCAGCTCTCGAGTTCTCCCAAAGGCCTGCTCGGTTTGCATAGGCCTGTGCAAACAAAGTAGACATCCCATAATTTCATAAATAATATACATAACATTTTTTTTAATTCCGTTGATTTATAACCTCAACGTACACACAATGAAGCCGGCGAGTTGATAATATCAACAGGTTCATATTTTTTAATTCCACAGATATCTCTTTCCTAACGCCATTGCTTTAAAACAGTCAAATGAAGCAAGGTATCTGCACTTAGCAGTGTTTCAATTTGGCGCTGTAAACGTCTTGCACATGCTGCAGACTTGGTTGCCAACAAAAATCTACTTAAAACTTAAACCAGGCATTCTCGTTTCTTTTGTTTATTATATTTAACTTTTTCGTTTCACAGATATTTCGATGGATTGGATCTTATACGAGTTTGTGGTATATATGACCAATTATGAACAATTTCAAGAATAAAATAATTCAGTGGTATTTTGTGTTTTCGCACCGGTGTTTTTCTGTTTTGCACTGGTGCTTCGTTTTTTTTTGCACTGCTATTTAAATCGGTCTTAACCTATTACAATTTAGAATCGTTTTATAGATAATATTAGTCCCAAAATTACGCGATAAAAAAATATCATGTGACAATTTTACCATAACTCAACCTTCAGTCCTCATCGTCCGTTCCTAAAGGCTATATTCGCGGTATTGAAGAGTGTTGACTATCAATTTATCTATCGTAATAACACAGTTATAACCAAAAATCTATGTTTGAAAATTAGGCACTATATCATATGAAATATCTCAGAGAACATAAAATGTTAATTAGCAAGTTCTTCAAGACCTAATTGTTTGCGCTGTTTTGTGATGACTTACCGGATGGCTCTGAATTGATAGGAGTAGTAGCCGATGTGCTAGTATTCGAAGACGAGGTTTCTAAATTCAAGAAAACAATGTGAAGTTTTACCAATTGAACACAAAGAAATATAATAGAGACATAATCAGTTTGGAATATGAATTAGTGTAGGGTAGAGCATGAATTTTACTTCGTGCTTATAAAATTTAATACTTCATGCAGTTGATTGTTGCAAAATAAAAGAATATTATTGAGTCGGACGTAAATAAATCAATCTGTGTTAAATTCACAAGATTTGATTTATATGGACTTGTATGTCAATGAGATCAATTGAGCTTAAAAATTTCTAAGCCACTTTTCTTTTTTATACAACAGAAACAAGTTTTTTTCGCTTTTTAAACTTTTACCTTAAGAAGTGTCCGATTCGAATATTAATTTGACGTTGGAAACAATTATACAAGACAGTGCGTTTTCACTAAATGTTTGCAGTTAATATATTTAGATTTTATTAAATTTGGACAGCAGCGAACCCAATTTTATAAGAAAAAGCTTAAAAACACAAGTAAGTTGGAATTTTTAGATTTTGGTCGCTGGACTAATATATAAGATGTTTTTCGTGTTTATACAGGTTTATAGAAATCTCGAACACGTCTGTGAGAACTCTCGAGCAGGTGCATTCATTAAACTTTAGTCTCTGTCTTGCACTGATCAGCTCTCGAGTTCTTCCAAAGGCCTGCTCGAATTGCATAAGCCTGTACCAACAAAGTGGACATCTCATAAATTCTTAAATAATGTACTTAACATTTTTTAATTCCGTTGATTTTTAACCTCAACGTATACACAATGAAGCCGGTGAGTTAATAATATTAACAGGTTCATATTTTTTAATTCTACAGATATCTTTTTCTGAACGCCATTGCTTTAAAACAGTCAGATAAAGCAAGGTATCTGCACTTAGCAGTGTTTCAATATTGTGCTGTAAACGTCTTGCACATCCTGCAGATTTGATTGCCAACAAAAATCTACTTAAAACTTAAACCAGGCATTTTCGTTTGTTTTGCTTAATATATTTACTTTTCTCGCTTAAGAGATATTTCGTTGGATTGGCTCTTATATAAATTTTTGGTATATATGACCAATTACGAGTAATTTCAAAAATAAAATAATTCAGTGGTATTTTGTGTTTTCGCACGGGTGTTTTTCTGTTTTGCACTGGTGCTACGTTTTTTTTGCACTGCTTTTTATGTCAGTTTTAACCTATTAGAATTTAGAATCTTTTTATGTATAATATTAGTCGCAAAATAACGCGATGATAAAAATATCATGTGACGATTTTACCATAACTCAACCTTAAGTCCTTAACGTCGGTTCCTAAAGGCTATATTCGCGGGATAAAAGAATGTTGACTATCGATTTATTAATTGTAATAACACAGTTATATCCAAAAATCTGTATTTGAAACTTAGGCACTATATGATATGAAATGTATCAAAGAACATAAAGGGTTTATTAGCAAGTTCTCCAATACTTAATTGTTTGCGCTGTTTTGTATTGACATACCGGTAGTATTCGAAGTGATAAAAGTACTGGTTGATGTGCTAGTATTCATCCATTTCAACGTTGTCTCCTTGTGTATAGACCCATAGCTTCCTTTAATAAAATGAACTGTTCTTTTTTTAGACACTAAAGCCACGTTTCCACCAGCATGTTGAATGATGTTTAATGAATCATCAAAAATGTCTGCATCATATCCTGTGTTTATCAGCTTTATAGACCACATAATTTCTTTGGTTTCAACAGAAAATGTCTCAATAAACAGTTCTGACTGGTCTTTTTTCCAGAAAAAACCTGTGACGCTGTTGGTGGCGGGAGAATAAATGACTTGATTGCGTGGAATAATTTCGTCATCGTGTGGTTGAAATTTCATTTTTGTAATAAATTTTCCGTCTATTGTATATATTATAAGTCGGTAATTTTTAGGAGATTTACAAGTCAAAATGGCTATGTTGTCGTTGGAAGAAACAGACAAATATTTTATTTCGTCATCAATTTGTTTATGTTTATGTTTATGTTTACCTTTCGCCCAAAAAAAGTTCATTTCGTCTTTGTTACACACATGTATTTTAATGTTTCGTTGATTTACCTCGACTGTAGCAATGATAACATTGCCATTTGCTGTTGCAGCCAGTAAAATCTTAGTAAATTGTTGGTCATTAAGAAATTTCAAGGGATATATTTGAACAAGTTTGTCTTTCAAACATTGTATCAACATATAATCGCCATTTGTTTGGTCTCTATAACCCAACAGTAAATATACTGCGCCCTTTTTATCAATGTTCATGCGTATTACTTGCCTATTTTTAATATCCGACCTTTTAAAACTACACCACGTTTCAAATATTTCTCTTTCATTGTTAAGTTTTTGAAGTTCTTTTCCTTCAAAAATTAGTAATTCTCCTTCTTTGTTGATGATTATTTCCTCATTCAAGACGTGAGTATTCTTAGGAAAGTGAGTTGAGTACCAAGGTAATGAGGCAGTAGGGATTCCTTTAACCTTCCTGTAATAAAAAGGATGAACCTTCTGCCCATCATATTGAATCTTGGGCCATTCCAAAACAGGTATCCTTTTGTTTGTGTGCCTAAAGATGAAATTGGCCAACGCCAAGTTGACATTTATTACTATGTCAAGGACGTCAGTCCCCATGTAGCTGTGAGATTCGGCTTTTATTCCCTCGACAATGGAGGAGTTTAAATCTTCCAGACATAACATGAAATCCCTTGTTGCTCTCTCGCAGTTATCTGGATGTTCAAGAATAGCGCTTGCAATGCGTATCTTGCTTGCTTTTATTTTTTCTTCAATGCTCAAGGAACCATTTTCAAACGCCTTTTTCGCCTCATCTCCAGCTTCTTTGAAATGCGTTCGACATAATGGAGAAAGGTTTATTGTTGGTGGCTGTGTCGATGACGATGTTTCATTTGCAGTCGACTCTTGCGTCAATTCCAGCTTTTCAACTCCTATCTGAAAGTGACTGAAACTCTGATAAAGAGCATATTTCGATTTATCGCATGTTTCCTTTGATTTATCGATAAATGCATTCAAAAAATGCGTTACATTTTGGCCTTCCCCGACATCCACAACTATGTTGAAAGCTGATTTTATTATTGCTTCCATCACTAAAAGAGTTACGCTCAAAGAGAAACTAAATATACCCAAAGATTATAACGTCTTTTTAATGCTACTAAAGCATAGGATTATTAACACCAAAGTTAAATCAAAAAGTCGCAGAATCGTAGCAAGAAATTAAATTTAGAAAGTTATGAACTGAGTCACCAGACAAAGAAGTCACGCATGTGTTGCTTTGCAATGGAATTTAAATTGCAAATACATACAATTATTTAAGGCTTGCCGTTGTCATCGACTCATCGCGTTTATCTACAACTTTATTTGTCAAAATGTTTGGCAGTCATAATTTTGGTCTGCTGAGAACATTAATACCTGAAAAACATGACAATGAACTGCATGAAATTGAAACTTTCCAAACTTACAACTGTATACAAGTGATATTCTAAGAGCGTTAGAATATTATGTAAATAATTTGGCGTCACGCTAGCAATATGTTTCACATTCATGACCTTGGCAAACTAAACTTTTATTGGGAAATTTGCAGTATATAAATACGGGTAAAACGCGGAAATAAGCGTAGCAAGTAAATTCTTTCTTACTAGCTTAGAGAAATATATCTGTAACTTTGAATTCCAATAAACGCTTACATATTTTGGTAAATCATCAAATTATTTAAATACAAAGTTTTTCATACAGTTTATAATATTTTCAACATTTCAGTGCATTTTTGTTTTGGGCCGTAGTTAAAATACTTTTCATAACTTTATCAACTTTTTCGGTCAAGCCATACTTAATATACATTGCTAATTTGGCAGCAATAAATTTGAAATAACTATGGATAAGTGAGATTATACAGTTTTAACTATTTCTACAAAAGATCAGCAATTGGAAATTTACAATCATACAGAAGATTTACTTTTTCAAAAGGATTTTCAGGCTTTTGCTTCATCACAGAAATTTTTGATTTGTTCATGACTATGTCTTGGTGGCTCGCCAGACGTTTCAAATCTTCTGTTTGCACTGTGTGAAAACGAAAATCGTTTTTTAATGTGTATTGAATAAATTTTTCATACTCAACGTAGCAAATAAAGCACATTATGCAAGGTTATGATAACCGTTTCTTTTGTATACTGTAAAAACCCAATAACACTAACACCAGGACACTAGAACGTGTTATGGGCCCAAGACACTAGAACATTTTGGTAGTATCGAAGATTTGAGTTTAAAGCAATGAAATGTTTTAAATAAAACAAAGTGAGACTGAAGCGTGCAACAATATGGTGATGTCACCCGACTTTGGATTGAAAATGACAAAGCTGAATGGGACAAACTATCGCGACTGGGCATTTAACATGCGATTACACCTCGAAAGTTTAGATCTATTTGAACACGCCGATGGATCTGCAGAAAGTCCTGCTGATGATGCTCCTGAAGCGGTGAAAAAGAAGTTCATATCTTCCGCGAAGAAGGCGGATATTTGTTTATATTTATATTTGTTTAGCTGTCGAGCCTGAACAACAAATTCATGTCCGGGAAACGAAAACAGCGAAAGAGGAGTGGGATGCCCTAAAAGCCCAATTTGCACGAGAGTCAATTTTGCTGAAAATCAAGTTAAGGCAGCAGTACTTTTCCTGCAAATTCCAGTCTGGAAGTAATATGTTGCAACATATCAATCACATGCGTTCACTTCATGATCAAACGCGAGAGATGGGGATAAGTGTAAATGACAAGGAATTGGCTATGACCTTGTTGGCAAGTCTGCCTGATGAGTACAAACCTCTGATTACCGCATTAGATGCTGTTAAGGAAGATAGCTTAACATTTGAAAAAATCAAGAAAGCTGACCATTAGCCAACCAAAATAACTTGAAGGTATTCTCAAGAGATTTTAAATGAAAAATTGTAAACCTGTCAGTACACCAATTGAAGCAGGAAAACAGTTTTGTGCATTATCCGAAGATGAAAAGCCCATTAATGTTCAAGAATACCAAAAGATGATTGGATGCCTTATATATGTTTCTACTGCAACACGTCCCGATTTAGCAAGTGCAGTTGGAATTCTGGCAAGATACATGTCTAGACCTGGAATGGAACATTTCAAAGGAGTAAAAAGAGTTTTAAGATATATTAAAGGGACTATTAATCATGGTCTAGTATTTAAAACTAATGAAGAAAAGCAAATGATTATTGGATATTCTGATGTTGATTGGGGAAACGATTTGCATACTAGAAGATCAATATCTGGGTATGTGTTTCAAGTCAAAGGAAGCACCGTAAGTTGGTGTAGCAAAAGGCAAACATGTATTGCAAGGTCTTCAACCGAAACTGAATACGTCGCATTAAGTTTAGCTACACAAGAAGTTGTGTGGTTGAAGAAGCTCCTACAAGATATGAATGTAAGATCAGAAAAATCATTGGTTATTTATGACGATAACCAAGGAGCTATCAAACTATCAAAGAATGCCAAGTTTCATAACCGCACCTAACATATTGACATTGCATTTCACTTTATTCGAGAGAAAGTTGGGAATGGGTCAATTGATGTGAAGTACTGCCCTACAGATCAAATGTTAGCCGACATCATGACCAAAAGTCTATCCAAGGAAAAATTTATAAAATTCAGAGAACAGTTGGGAGTTTCTGAAATCAATTGACTTTAGTCTTGTTTAATAATGATATCCTCAAGTGGGAGTGTTAGGAATGACGATACATTACATATGTATTAAACAAAGTATTACACATTATGTATTAAACAAAGTATTATACATATGTATTAAACAAAGTATTATACATTTGTTTATGAAAAGATATCAAAGAATGAAATCAGTGGAGTGAAAATACCGTCTTTGAATAATTATGAGGTGATTTTGAAGTCCCTTTCAGTAAGTGTGATTGTGAGTGAGCTTTTAGAATTAAAGATCTCAAAGTGGCGATTGACGAATGACCATTTAGAGATTGAAGTGTCTGATGAAAAAGCGCTTTTAGTTTTGAAGTGTAGATCTATAAACACCCATATCCCCTACCCTACATCAACCACTTTCAATGAAGAATGCAATAACAATATATAAATGTATATCAACAATTATATATTCATAACAATATAATTTATATTTATAATTATATATTAATAATATTGTGTAATGAAATATAACAATAACTGTATGTATTACTAATTATAAGCCACAGAATATGAAATATACTGAAGGGTCACTCGTGTCGGAACCTTTGACGCTTTCGCCCTCACTCATGTCAGCATGATGTTTAGAGTTTTTCACTTGTTTCCATCTTATTCCTAACCACTAACATGACCTGACGTCATTTCTTATATTGGAATATTTTCGATTTCATGCATTACGAAGAAATGACGTCATGTGATTGCAGTGGTTTGGAAACAAGAGTAAAACCCTCAGTATTTGGGTTGCAGGAATATTAATGGCGGCCGTGAGGAAGCGTTGCTCACTTGAGTGAGACTTTTGTCATTATTCTGTGTTATAAACCAAGAAATTATGAAGTGTGACGCACATATTAAGAAATAATTGGGCCAAACAAAAGAGTAGGCAGTATATTTTTTATATAGGCTGAAAAACTTTGCTTTTGATACTCTACTTAATTAAAGTGTTTATTTAACCTCGATGATCAAAATATTTTACAAAATAACTACAACACTAAAAATGACCATATTACCATTTATTTTATTAAAAATTGTAAAAATGCTGCCAACGTGTTTTCATTAAGTGATTTAATATATGTCTTCAGATGATCAAAGCACACCGGTTCACTTTTGGTCTTTGATTCAGAAGAAAGCAGCTTGATAACACGTTTTGATGAAGGTTTCTTGGCAGCATACATATTTTGCAAATTGTAAAAATTATTGGACTCATGATAGAGTTTTAATATTTCGAGCTCACCGCCAAATACATTTGACACATAATTGGCCTTTTGTATTAGTTCTTGATGTGCCAGTTCTTCAATTATTACTTTAATACTGTCTTTTGTTTTCATTTGGTGGCATTTATAGTTACTGAGGAGATCACTGACTTCATAGTTGATCGGCTCTAACTCACCGTTTATTCATTTATTAACGGTATCTCTTTCGTCTTTTGAAACATGCAATACAAAAGACTCTAGCAGACAGTCGTTTGTAATAGCTTCTTCTCCAAAAAGGCAGCAGCCAATGATCGCTTTCGAGATAAACAATGGAAAGTAGCTTAATTCGCTAAACCCAAACACTATGATTCGTCCAACACTCAGCCACTCGAGTTTTTGGAAGTCGTGCCTTATTGACAGAACTTTTTCTGGCCCTAAAGTAGAGGCAGCTATAGAAAATTCCATGCAAAATAAGCCCAGAACATCGCGGGTTACACATGCACCCCAGCAAAGTTCAAACTTATCATTGTCTCCTTTCATTACCATCATTAAGCAACATTGCAAAACATCACTATCGGAGAACTCGTTTATCATCGACTTTAGTGCGTTACTCCAAGGAATGACAATCTCCCGAACTGGTGGAGTACGAGGACGTACTGGTTCTCCCGGTACGGTTAAGTCAACAGTAAGAACCGTTTCAGAGTCAGACATTTCTTCTCTTTCACGTTCAAAAATCTCATCAGGAAACTGATCCACTTCATCAACTGTACTTGCTTGCAAAAAATCTATTAAAATCAAAACAAAACGCCCATGGAAGAAGCTGCAACACTAGCAAGATAACTGGAGGGGGGAGGTCAAATATTCAAATATTCATATCATAGTCTACAGAAAACAATAAATTTCAAAGGCATGACATGCACATAAGATGCTTAAAAACAAACATCTTAGCTGCCTATATGCAATAATTATCTAATTGATACTCCATATACTAACCTTGAATGCTCGTCTGTACTTGCGAATGATCGGCGAAACGTTCAGTTTCTTGTGATAACATGCTTGAATTAGGTTGTGCACTCACATGTTGGTGTTCTGTAAAGAAATCACAACAAAAAAGATACTGGTATAGTAGATATCGGTACATGTGTGTAAGTAAAGTCCAACATGTATGAATCAATGCGCTGAAAATAAAACAGCTGAAAATGAAATTATTACTGTACTAAATGGAACTATTAAATTTTGGTTTCAAGTGTACACCGTTCAACAAGCAATGCATGTCAAAAATTATAACTAACGTTCATCACATGATCTTGTCATAAACATATACAATTACGGATGGATATTTCAACCGATAAAGATT